GTTAACTTTTGTTTTTCACACATGCATTTCAATTTCAACCATTTTACTTACTGTATTTTCTTCAATATGTCTTTCTAAATTCCCGTCTCTAGCCCGGTTATGGATAGTTAGCCTTTTATTTCTAAAAAGGGTTACTAAGAAGTAGTGTTTTTGCTTTCCACTCATTGCTCAACATGTTTTCCCAAAAAGTTAGGATTTAAAGAAGGCCACTGTAAGTCTTAACAAGTCAATACTGAAAAGGTTGCTTATTTGCATTGTTGAGTGGTTAAACCGAGGAGAGGAGCGCCTTAGACATAAGGGTTCCGSTTAAGTAGCCTAGACATAGGACCTTAACCCGAGGTTGCGACTATTTCCATCCTAAAACTAAGATATCTCTCATAATAGACATATTAGGGAATGTCTTAGGACTTTGAACTTGCTTAGAAATAAGTCAAGTGAAAAGCGTAGTCGTTGGTTCCTAAAGTAAAATGCATATCGTCCTTAGCGTATCCTTGATTCTTTGTTGGCTAACTYGAAGTAATTCGGGCTAGGTTTACCATTATAAGACCAAATCCCAAATCCAAAACCATTATTTGTGACCACTTCCAATTTTACAAGAATCACTCATTTCAACGTTCACTATTCATTAAAACTTTAGAGTTTGGAAATTATTTAGAAGTCCTTGAGGATCGATACTTGGATACTCCATCCATTTTATATTACTCTGACAGGTGTGCGCTTGCATCTATAGAATTGTTACCACTCTTAGTGCGTGCGTTCAGCATAACGCTAGTGAATGACGCCGGATCGAGCTAGGGAAGAGTCAGGATCGAGCCGGGACGCATCGGGGTCGAAGCTGGGATGAAAAATAGGGAAGCAAAGCGTTGCAAGCCATTTGGGCCGAGGAGGTAGCGCCACGGCGCTGTTGCAGGGCGCCACGACACTGTCCAGATGGGGGCGCAGGCAGACTTTTTTGTTCGTAGCGCCATGGCGTCGGGGACAGCGCCATGGCACTATTTCGATGTCTATATAAGTGCAGTTTCGAGTTCAGGGTTTTGTAGCCGAAAAGGGGTTATTGTCCAGTTGATTTTGAGCCGTTTTTCAGAGGGTTTCGTGGCTGTTTCAAGGGAGAGGCTCGAGCATTGGCAAAGGCATTGAGGCTCATCAAGATCAAAATATTCAGGGTAACTAGATCTTGATTATTGTGAGTTTTTCATTCCTGTTCCTAAGTATTAATTGTGTAAAATACTTAGAGGGCTTTTGTTGAGACCTCTAGGGGATATTTTGGGGAGTGTTATTGTATCCAATCCTTAATCATATTAGTGAATTACTCACATCTTAGTGGAAGACTGAACGTAGCCTTTAGTGGTGAACCAGTATAATTTGTTGTGTCGTTTGCTTGTGTTTACTTTTTTTCTTCCTATTTGCATATTCTTGGTTGTGTTGGATATTTTATGTGGAAGGAGAAATTATTCAGGTCGGTTAATTTTCCAACAAGTGGTATCAGAACTGTAGGGTTGCAGCATCATGAGATACAAATATCACGCACATCATTATTATGAAGAGGTTCTGAAGTTCATCGGGGAGAATTTCAGTTTTTGGAAGATGCAGGTAAAGGATCTTCTTACGTGCAAGAAGATACACAAGACTTTAGGGGAGAGACCAGAAAGGATGGCAAACTAGGATTGGAGTGAGATGGATGAGCAGACCGTCGCGAACATCAGAATGTCGTTATCAATGAATGTTTGTAGTCTGGTGGCGAAAGAGACTACAGTAAAAGAATTATTGAAGTCATTGCAAGACAGGTATGAAAAACCTTCTGCCAATACAAAAATACTTCTATGGACGAAGTATTTTAATATCTACATGGAGGAGGGAACCTCGGTGAATTCCCACATTAATGAACTCATCGATATCTTGAACAAATTAGAAGGAATGGGTGTCAAGATTGAGCAGGAGGTGTAAGCTATGAGACCGTTGACGTCTTTACCTGACAGTTGGGAGACGATGAAGACCGCTGTGTCGAAT